AAACAACAGTGACATTAGGATTACTGAAACTAAATCAACAGTGACATTAGGATTACGGACATTAAAATAACAGTGACATTGGGATTACGGACATAATAATAACAGTGACATTGGGATAACGGACATTAAAATAACAGTGACATTAGGATTACTGAAACTAAATCAACAGTGAAATAGGGATTACGGACACTAAATCAACAGTGACATTAGGATTACTGAGACTAAATCTACAGTGACATTAGGATTACTGACACTAAATCAACAGTGACATTAGGATTACTGAGACTAAATCAACAGTGACATTGGGATTACTTACACTAAATCAACAGTGACATTGGGATTTCTGACACTAAAGCAATAGTGACATTAGGATTCATGACATTAAAGCAACAGTAACATTGGGGTTACGGACACTAAATCAACAGTGACGTTAGGATTAATGATATTAAAGCAAATGTGACATTAGGATTAATGACATTAAAGCAACAGCGACATTGGGATTATTGACACTAATGTAACAGTGACATTAGGATTACTGTCACTAAATCAACAATGATATTAGGATTACTATCAACAAATCAACAATGACAATAGGAATCATAATACTAAAATCTTTGTGTTCTTCAGAAAAACTGATTTGCATTTAGCCTACTGGCTATTAGCAAATATGTACGTTTACATTTTTATAACCGTTGTTGGTGACACGTTTAATACATAACCAAAAACAAACATATCGAGTTTACAATTAAAAAAATACTACCGATATATACCTATCTATGTATCCCAATATTCCCAAACACACTTATACATGCATACATTCTAGTGTATATTATATATGTATATGTATAGACCGATATATGTTTGTGTGTTTTCATTGACCCAAGTGCGTACATGCAGATATACAATGAGATAGTGTGAAAGACACATCAAAAAGTGTCATCAGTATATAATCAATTACACACCATGCTTTTACTTAATATTATCGTAACCACATTAAACGTAAAATAATGCGTAGTAATGCATCAAAAACGAAAATATGTTCACCATACTACGTTCAATAAGAGCTATATGAATATAATTTCCTGGATCTCAATAACCTCAGTTGTGTTAGTATAACAGAGTAATTCAATATATTCAACGTACTCTGGTGTAACTGAGTAATTCAATAGATTCAATTCAATAGATTCAACGTACTCTAGTGTAACTAATTCAATAGATTCAACGTACTCTTATGTAACTGAGTAATTCAATAGATTCAACGTACTCTAGTGTAACTAATTCAATAGATTCAAAGTACTCTAGTGTAACTGAGTAATTCAATAGATTCAACGTACTCTAGTGCAACTAATTCAATAGATTCAACGTACTCTAATGTAACTTAGTAATTCAATAGATTCAACGTACGCAGACTATTCAAAATTAAGAGTTTGAATGCATCTTTCTTAGCGGCAAATAGAACTAGCATTCCTAAACAAAGTCTTACTCATGAAACCAGTAAAAATTTGGCATACAAGCATTATAGGCTTAAATATTATGGATTTACATTTACAGTTCTAATGAAATTGTGATAAAATTATCAAAGTATATTGCCTTTCTAATTTTCTTTGAGACAAGGACTTTCTTTGTATGTAGAACAATCATATTTATTTACATGACTGTGTGTGATTTTTCGGAACGAACATATGTAGCTCAGGTAAATTTTAATTAAATTTAAATAACACAGCTTTCTTAATTACGTTCACTCTCTCTCTCTCTCTCTCTCTCTCTCTCTCTCTCTCTCTCTCTCTCTCTCTCTCTCTCTCTCTCTCTCTCTCTCTCTCTCTCTCTCTCTCTCTCTCTCTCTCTCTCTCTGTGCAATACTTATAAGATACATGTTTCGTATCTAGCAAACCAACAGAAAAATATATACCATATATACCGTTCACACTGAAACTAAGGGATTTCTGTTTGTTTAAATACGTTATTGATTCATTGATTGAATGATTCATTATTGTTTGAAATGACGCGGTGGCACAGTGATTAGCTTGTCGAACTCACGAACGAAAGGGTTCAAATCCTACCATCGGACCAGCCTGCTGGTCAAAATGAAATACGTTAAATCCCTAAAGAAATTAAACATTCTTTGTACGAAACGTAACGAACATCTCAAATTACCATTTGCTCGGAAATTATCCACAGAGTCCTGGACGATGTATGTGTTCCTAATTTGCATACTTAATTGCAGATATCTTGTTACGACCATGTAGTTTAATTTTTTGTACATTAAAATTTGAATTCTTATTATTTGTAGCATTATATTTTATTAAGATGAAGATTATGTCCACGAAATCTGATAATTTTAAAAGAAAGGTCGTGTTTATTTAGAACTTAAATATGACTCGGCTCGCGTAAGCATTATTTTAGATTGCCGACTGGATAAACAACCGGCGTAAACGATTGGTTGTGGCCAAGGTCATTTCCTAAGCATACGTGATTATATCATAAACTGCAATTGTTAGATAATGACATAACCACGCGTTCTTCGAGTGTATGCGTGAAAAGACGTTTTGGTTCGGATTATAACACTTAGGTCACTGTGAAATAGTCAGAGTTGGTTTTATACCTTGAGAAGAAGGTATTATTTTGTGCTGGATAAAGTTTATTTTTCTTTATATCTGTAGAGCACGAGATGTGTCTTGCTATAGATGACAGCAATACGGATTCATCTACTTTTAAATAATAATTTATTTTTCCCTGAAGAACTACACAAGTGGATTAGGACAAAGACATTCCGTTAAATTCATTCTAAACTGGAATAGTACAGTACATTACAAATTGTGGTTCAACGTGAAATTCTGGACATTTGTGTAAAAACTTCATCTTTCGTCATCGTCCTCCATCTTGGAACGTCGTTAAGATTCGAACCTGGATTTGGTAAAAGTTTTTTAGTTTATAGGACTTGTATTTTATCAATATTAGTATATATGTTTGGATTTTCTTCACAAACCGTAAGTCTATTCTTTTTTTGTTTTCACCTTTCCACCGTGTTTTGTAGGAAAATAAAATATTTTTCTTAAAACTTACAAAACCTGTTGTCTTCACTCTTTTCTTTTGTTACTTTTGAACAAGCTGATACGTAACAATCTATATTCTAGAATAATGTTAGTTTTATTTGTGGGCACACATTCGGCATTTAGATATAATTAGCTATTGACCTTGAGTGTGCCCCTCTCTCCATGGCTCTTTGTTCGAAATATTAAAAGGCTTTTACCTGTTCGTGTTCCCACCCTCTGATATTTATGTGTTGTTTTATCCGTAAAAAAAAATTAAAAAGAAATTTGAAAAGAAAGTTATTTATATGATCGCTTTTGTTGGGGTGGTTTCTCTTAATTTGCTACTTTCTTGGATGTGGTTAGAGCGCCCGCCTCAGATGCGAAAGGTCGCGGTTCGAACCCCGGCTGAGTCATAACAAACAATTTATAAAAAGTCAATAACAGCTGCCCTGCTTGGCGCTCAACATTAAGAGGTTAGTGTTAGAACTGGTCGGCCTGATGTCAAGATGATGTGACTGGGTGGGACATCGCTATAAACTATCACACTGCAGACATCTCAGCGATATGACTGAAAAATTATTAAAGCTACGCTAAAAAATCTAAATCACACACACACACACAGACACTCACACACACACCTGTATATGCAAGCATATTATTTCCTCCTCAACTAATACTTGATAGCTTTATTCTATAAAACTAATAACCTGTTATGTTTTGTACTATCACCCGTTAACAAATTTGTCTGTGGATAATTATATATGATGTGGCCAACGATCGTCTTACTGTCCATGTTAGCTATGTATATGCTATGTTTTGTCTGCTATATAGTTACTTTGTCTGGACTGGACTTTGTGACTGTTTTCAAGTTTGTTCTTTTGGTAATTTCGTGTTTATTTTCCTAGAAAAGATATATACTCTTATTATTATTGTTATTATATATATATATATATATATATATATATATATATATATATATATATATATATATATATATATATATATATATATATATATATATAAAGAATACAAATCATATGGCGAATAACAACCCTTTCAAGCGTACTGGATCCACCAAGGGATCACGTGTGTCAGGGATTAATTAAAATAGATGCAATAAACTGACGACGAACAGTACGAAACTAGTAACTAACTAGCCTAAGCGCTTTCGACTCTTAATGAGTCTTTTTCAAAGGCAAATACAAAACATATATACAACAAACAAATAAACACAAAAACGTTGTGTTTGTAAACCTCTAGAGGTTTGCAAACACAACTATACATGCTTTGTTTCTTCAATTCGGAAGAAACAGACAAAGACAAGATGATGGGAAAATTAAGATTGCTCTTTCTAGAAATCACTTTCTCTAGAAAACTTTACATATTTGACATGACTTTCATCTCCATGGCATTGACATGCATTAAACTTTCTTGAGGGGGCAAACATCGCCCACATGGAAGTAGCATAGTAACTGTGACCCTGTCCAATCACGATGCAGATTGTTAATCATATTAGGTCATCCCATTTCCTGAGATGGTACCTCATATAAACGTTTTTATCACTTGATTTAAAAGGCAAAATTCCAGGGTAAAAGGATCCATTGCTGCTTTGAAAAGACACAAGAGACTGATTTCCCATGGCATTCTAGGTGGAGACAAACTACTAACCCAAATTCCATGTCACATTGAATTTAGATCTATTACTGAATGAGATAGAATTAGTAACTGTTTACAAGAAATCCGAGTTGTAACAACAGTGAAACAAAGGATTGTTTGTCTTGCTACCAAGAGATGCTCACCATGTGCTTTTGACCTGTAAGGTCTCTCTCCCAAATGACATTGAGTTGACATTGGTCTTTAACAGCAATTGTTGGCTGTGACATTCCCAGGCTGGTAGAGCTAAGTTCCTTTCACAAGGAAATACAAAAGAAACAAACCCAGGATGATCATGACAAGAATCTAACCTGTGACCGCTCTGGTGGCCCAGTGGTTAGAGCATCCACCTCAGATGCGGGAGGTCATGGGTTCAATCCCCGGTCAAGTCATACCAAAGACTTACAAAAATGGTACTAACAGCTGCCTCGCTTGGCACTCAGCATTAAGAAGTTAGTGTTAGGACAGATCGGCTTGGTGCCAGGAAATTGTGACTAAGTGGGACATCATGCTACATGTCTGCTGCATAATGCCCCAGTGCTAGACATCACTATAAACTGCCACTCTGCAGACATCATAGCGATATGACTGAAAAATTGTTAAAGCTACGTTAAAAATCATAATCACACTCATACATCACACAATCTAACCCGCTACAAAACTGATGCCCACAACATGTTTTTGACTTTGGTTGGATGGTTAATCTTTAACAGCACTTTTAACATATTAATGGTTATGTCAAGTCGAACAATTGGAAGCTATGAGTCAATGTTCCTCTTTGGTTATATCTCTTTATCCTTTATCTTGTATAGTTCATGAGCTATGCTGCCATGTTTCCATCCAATGAAAGTAATGTGCTTGCCAAGGGGCATAAGTCACTGCAATATGAATTAAATTAAATCTATAAAAGGCACACATAATTATATTAGATGGTTCCTGCATCAGAATTAGAAGTGTCAAGGTACATAACTCTAACCAAAAATGTAGCTGAGAAGTGAAAACAGGTAAAAGATATAGATATGTTTGAGATAGAGCAAAATTGCATCAGAATATGTTTAATGACTGTTGAGCCAATCTGGTTACAAGGAGCATCCCAAGTGAACATCTGAATTGTCAGGGGCCATAACTCTATCCAAAATGTAGCTGATGTGACAAAATCCATAAAAGGCCTATGAGAAAATGTATACACTAAATTGGATCAGAATATTTGAAGCATTCCTGAGCTATGATGTTTACATGGAGTTGATGCAATAGAGGTTAGAAATTCATGAAAAAGGGCAATAACTCCGTCAAACTGTCAAAGAAAAGACTGCTTTTTGAAAGGCATATTTACCTTTGATAAGCAATTTATCCTTTTATGTACATGGGTTGCAGAACTTTCATGGTTAAAAGAAGTATGAATGGACTGACAGGTGCACAGACAGAAAAGGCAATTACTACAGGGGCTCTCTCATGTGGGGCAGTAAAAATTAGTAAATGTGTTCATGAAACAGAGATGCCCTACCCTAATTCCTACAAACTGACCTACATGCATAAAGTAGTCAAGTTGCTGTGAACATTTGGATTGATAGCTGAACAGTCAAGGTTAATAACGTATATCTACTATGGTAAGAAAATTAAAACAAAGGCCAGAAATGCAAGGCTATATGAAGTTTATCAGAATCTGCCATAAATACAACATTCCTTAATATTAAAATATAAGTCATCTATAAGCAAAAAAAGAAAATGAACATTAAAATATAGTCATGTAAACTTGCACATTTTACTATGCACTAGCAGAATACAAATCTACCATAAAAACTTGCTGAAAATTTCTTAACAACAAATAATAAAATCTATTAAAATTTTTTGCAATAAAAAAAGAAACAAGACACCCAACTTTGGCTCAGCCAACCTTTTATTTAGCTACAAAAGCCATGAAAAACATCTTTAACACTGCAATCATTACATTTTTAACAGTATTCAATATTATTAATAATATTCAAGCTTTGAACAAAAAAACGAAAGCTTATTGGATAAAACAACTCGCATGAAATACAGTTTTATGGTTAATTCCTGCATAAATCCAACTGATCACAAGATATGTCAACCACAAAGCTGGATGAAATCTGCATGAAACTATATATGGCATAAATTTAATTTTAGTTTCTGACAATCCTAACAGCGAGTATATAATATGTATGCATACTGTCATGCCCTCAAAGCGTTTATAACAGGTTCAAGTGAGTTCAAAACATGTATTATACTGTCATGCCATCAATGAGCCTATAACATGGATGTATAGTGTCATACCATTAATGAGTACATAACATGTATGAATAGTGTCATGACATCAATAAGCCTATAACATGGATGTATAGTGTCATACCATCAATGAGTACATAACATGTATGTATACTGTCATGACATCAATGAGCTTATAACCTGGATGTATAGTGTCATACCATCAATGAGTACATAACATGTATGTATACTGTCATGACATCAATAAGCCTATAACATGGATGTATAGTGTCATATCATTAGTGAGTACCTAACATGAATGTATAATGTCATGACATCAATGAGCCTATAACATGGATGTATAGAGTCATACCATCAATGAGTACATAACATGTTTGTATACTGTCATGACATCAATGAGCCTATAACATGGATGTATAGTGTCATACCATCAATGAGTACATAACATGCATGTATACTGTCATGACATCAATGAGCCTATAACATAGATGTATAGTGTCATACCATCAATGAGTACATAACATGTATGTATACTGTCATGATATCAATGAACCTATAACATAGATGTATAGTGTCATACCATCAATGAGTACATAACATGTATGTATACTGTCATGACATCAATGAGTACATAACATGTATGTATACTGTCATGACATCAATGATCCTATAACATGGATGTATAGTGTCATACCATCAATGAGTACATAACATTTATGTATACTGTCATGCCATCAATGAGCCCATAACATGGATGTATAGTGTCATACCATTAATGAGTACATAACATGTATGTATACTGTCATGACATCAATGAGCCTATAACATGGATGTATAGTGTCATACCATCAATGAGTACATAACATTTATGTATACTGTCATGCCATCAATGAGCCTATAACATGGATGTATAGAGTCATACCATCAATGAGTACATAACATGTTTGTATACTGTCATGACATCAATGAGCCTATAACATGGATGTATAGAGTCATACCATCAATGAGTACATAACATGTATGTATACTGTCATGACATCAATGAACCTATAACATGGATGTATAGTGTCATACCATCAATGAGTACATAACATGTATGTATACTGTCATGCCATCAATGAGCCTATAACATAGATGTATAGTGTCATACCATCAATCAGTACATAGCATGTATGAATACTGTCATCACCATTGATGAGTTCAGATAAATTCAAGACCTATTGTGAGTGGCAAGATACACATAAACAAAGGCAAAGTACACAAGAAAAATAAAAAAGAATTATTTTACCACAAAAATAAATGCTAATATCTTATGATTCTATGGCACAAAATACAAGGTGCCTTCAAAATTCGAATAATGTGTATTATTTGCTATATTCAAATATCGAGATCGCAGAACATGGGCAGACATTTTGGGCTGCCTGTCCCTAGTGAAGATTCCCTTTCTATTTCCCAGCACCCTTGTTATTCCTGCAACAAAAATATATTGATATATTGTGAATGCAATATTTTCCATGTGATACAAATTTTCATGCGGTATGGTATCGATTTTCATGGGATAACAATTTTCATGAGGTACAGTACCAATTAATGGGGTATGGTACCAATTTTGATGTGATACCAAATTTTATGGGGTATCAATCATCATGGATTTCATGTTTGCTAAGTAGGATCATGATAGATACCACATATAATTAGTTATAAATCAAGTCAAACTGAAAATAACATACACTCTAATCTGCTATCACGTTTTGCTCTATGTTACCTATTCTTCTAATCAAATTAAAAATCTGTCTAGATCCAAATCTGTCAGCACAGTATGTGATGGCAGAGCTAGGTCTCTGCAATTTACAGTTGGACGTATAAGCAAATAAATTCGATATTAGAAGACCAATTGAGTACCAAATTAAATGCATTTAAGACTGTAATATTGTTTACAGTAAAATCTTTGTAAGTGTATCCTTTTTTTAATTTTACAATTTGATTCATTATAAACATATTTAGAAAACTCTGGGTACCAATACATGGATTTCTTATGTGCAGCTATCTCACTCTACATGCTGTAATGTATAATTTTTGGAATCAAAACATTTCTGTTTAATCTCTGACCTGGGAACACAAGATCTATTTTCAATCTATTTAGGCTAAAATCATTTATTTCACTCATTTTTATTGTTTATATAATTTCAAATTTCTCAAACAAATTCAGAAATATTTGGAAAATAACAATTATTTTGCAATTTATAAAAACTTTATGTCCAGCTATAAAATATACCCCAGTGACAACAGAAGTTCTGCATTTATCAACAAAGTTCAAGGACAGGGAAGGATGTTGGGAAAAATCACCCAGACTAATCAATACAAGAATCCACTTTACTATATCAGACAGGTGGATACCAGGTGTTCAAACACCATATATAATTGCTTCCAAGTTAGATTCAACTGCAAATTGCATATCAGATTATCCATTGTTTGCTGCTGAACCCAACTTATAAGTGTGCATATGCACTAACAAAATATTCCTAGATATTCTATCTTTATTTCTCTCTAGGGTTCTACCATGTATGACATTGTTCTAACTGCAGACTGTCATGGGGTTTTTTTAAATCTTCATAAAAGTCGCCACACTTTAATATGAAGTACCTTGAGCTGTCATGAAATCAGCAAAATTCCAGACCATTTCACCAACCACAAAATCACGTCTCATAGTATCAAGAGCTTGATGGTATTCTTGTAAAAACTCCACTTGGTATTCCTCTGAGAAAACGAAGGATGGATCCTAAAAGTACAAATATGGACAGGTGTTTGAACTTTGGATAGGATTAAAACTGGAAATAAATATTGATTCAGCACACAATTATTAACAAGGTATTCCTGTAAAAACTCCACTTGGTATTCCTCTGAGAAAATGAAGGATGGGTCCTAAAAGTACAAATATGGACAGGTGTTTGAACTTTGGATAGGATTAAAACTGAAAATAAATATTGATTCAGCACACAATTATTAACAAGGCATGATATATGCAAATGCTTACGACTTTTAGATTATTTTTGCCAAACAAATTTACATGTTATGTTGGGGTTTGCAACATAAAAATGTGAACTTTTATTAGTTCCCAAAGTAATGACTCTCCTTTCATTCAGACATA